ACTTATGTTATAACATTCATTAACATCTCGTGTACCAGGCAGCGAATGCCTGGAATGACCTAGATAATGACATTAAGAATTTAGTTAATTTTAACATTTTAAAAAACTTCTAGAATAACTTATAGGCTAGTTTTACTATATTCCAGATTTATACATTATAATAATGTATTGTGATGAGGGCTTCATTGAAAAGCATCCTGAGATGAATGAATTTCCCTCAATAAATTATTATTAATTATTATTATTATTATTATATATTTTTATTATTATTATTATTATTATTATTATTATTATATTATTATTATTATTATAATTATTATTATTATATATTATTATTTTAATTATATTATTATATTATTATTTATAATAATTTATTATTATTAATATTAATTATTTATTAATTATTAATTATTATTATTATTAATTATTATTATTATTATTATTAATTAATTAATTATTATTATTAATATTAAGACATCGAGCAGAGGTCAGACGTTCTCTGTACATGTCTATAGTTTAAATGCAAATTCTTACTTGAATCTTAATATATTTCAAGAAATAGCTATCAGTGTAAATTGTAATCATGATTCGTTCCAGTTTCATATATATGTTACTCATTTTCGTGGTTTGTTCGTTCTGTGGAGAGGATTTCGTGACGCTGGGACGCCACTCATGGCGATGTAAACAGCGAGTTCATCGTGCAGAGCAACAATATTTTAGTGATTATCCAACGAAGCAAGCGCCAGCTATCAATTCACCAAATATCGTTATTTCAAGTCGTACTGTACTTAAATGTTGTTGTGGAAAAATATGCAAAGGTGCACGTGGTTTAAAGATGCATCAACGCAGTTGCAGAGTTATAGACGGACTTAATAGTGAACTATCTGCAGACCTAGAAAGAACAAGAGTTACAAGACAGACTAGATTCAGAAAATATATGTGAGCTAACAACTAACAACGAAACATTTATTGTGGATGAGGAAGAATTTCCAGTTTTAAAGAAAGGGATCAAACTACCTAAAAGTGATTCAGAATGGTCAACGGCTAACGAATATTTTAAATTCGCTCTACAATTCAATGAGCCAATTACATCACAGGATTTAGATTCAAATATAAAGGTATTAAATAACACCATTTACGAATATTTTGCTCAAAATTTTGGTTACATCAAGTCGAAGCCTTGTGAATCTTTAGTAAATAAATACAGAGGATATACTGTGAAAGATTTAAAGAAAGCTCTAAAAATCCTCAAATCTACAAATGAGGAACCCGATGAAATTAGATATGTGTCGCATATTCTGCGTGACAAAATTCGCCACAACAACCAGTCTACTGAGTCGTGTCTAGACAGTAGACAATCGCTTAATCATGATAAATACATCAAGAAAAACTTCTGGGGTTATGTCAAAAATATTCTAAACAAAAAGGATGTTTTACTTCCATCTTTTAGCATGACAGAATGCTTGTCGTATTTCTCAAAACGCTCTCAGCTATCCATCCGAATAAATTGTTCAACATTCCCAGCTGGATTCCCGTATTATCGCAACCAGAAGTCCAGTTTGACCTTGACCCGCCGACATACCAGCAAGTCACAAATATAATTCGTAAAATGAAAGCATCTGGTTCCCCAAGCCCCTTAGATCAACTATCAATTATATGTTTTAAACGATGTCCTTTCCTCAGATCCCATCTAACCGAACTAATACATAATGTCTGGTCGTCCAAAACCATACCATCAGAATGGAAGAAGGCGTGTACAATACTCATCCATAAAAAAGGCGATAATAATAACCCATCAAACTTCAGACCTATCACATTGCAGAGCATACCGTTGAAAGTATTTACTTCTTGTTTACGTAACGCCATTTATTCGTTCTTAACCGCTAACAACTTTATAGAACATAACATACAAAAAGGATTTACACCTAACTTGTCTGGAAATCTAGAACACACTGCGCAAATGGCTAATATTATCAACACAGCAAGGATAAAACAACGCTCCGTCATCGTCACCCTACTTGACTTAAAGAATGCTTTTGGTGAAGTGCATCACAATCTAATCACATCTATACTTGATTATCATCATATCCCACAGCACATTAAACTCATTATTACCAGCTTATATACAAATTTTAAAACCTCTGTAATTACACAAGAATATCAAACTCCATTTATATCAGTTGGCCGTGGCGTGTTACAAGGCGACTGTCTGAGCCCACTTTTATTTAACATGTGTTTTAATACCTTCATTCAACACATAAACGCTGAAAAATATCGTCAATTTGGCTTCTCCTTCCAGCTCCTTAATCCTATACACTGGTTTCAATTTGCGGATGATGCTGCTGTAATAACTTCCAATGAATCAGAAAATCAACATCTTCTCAACCGGTTTTCTATTTGGTGCCTGTGGTCGGACATGGTTATACGAGTTGATAAATGTAGTACTTTTGGCATCAAAAAGTCTATGACAAAATCAATTCAATATTTACCAAAATTGTTCATTAATAATAAGCTAATTCCAGCGACAAAAGTGGGCGCAAGCTTTCAATACTTAGGAAGATACTTCAATTTCAACATGTCAGATGAACAACACAAGTCTGAATTGATTTCCCTTGTTGAAGACTTAATGTCTGTTATTGATTCCAAACCACTTCATCCAAGAAATAAATTACTGCTTTATAGCCGTTATGTTTTATCAAAATTATCTTGGCATTTTACTGTCACAGATCTGTCAAAAACGTGGGTGATTGAAAATATCGATTCCAAAATTAACAATTATATTCGTACATGGCTTGAATTACCCATATCTGGAACGCTAAGCACAGTATTCCTTACCCGAAACAAATTTGGTCTCAGTATTTCGCCTCCATCCATTAAATTTACCCAATGCCAAACCGTTCGACGTAATGCTCTTAAAACCTCACCGAACACTGTTATCAGTAAACTTTGGAAGTCAACTAGCAACAGCAAAAATATACAATATGATGTATACACCTCTACAAAACAAATAATTAAGGAATTTCGTTCGAGACAAGAGGATAAACTTCGCAAGCAATTGACCTGTCAAGGCTCCTTTTTCAGAAATGTATCGAAATTTTGTCACTCAGAGCTGACAAGAATGTGGTGTGCATCTCAAACAAATTTACCTAGAAATATATTCAATTTTACCATACGGTATATCAACAATTCACTTCCTACACGTCAGAATCTTGCAAGATGGGGATTATCGGCAACTTCAGATTGTTCAAACTGTTTATCTCCAGAAACACTACTACATGTAGTGGCGGGTTGTAAATCGTATCTCGAACGGTTCACGTGGAGACATGACTCCATCTTAAACCTCCTCGCAGCCAACTTACAAACCATCAACGGCGCGACTCTCTTTGCCGATCTACCAAATTACAAGAGCCCATCAATCATCACTGGAAACTCCCACCGTCCTGACTTGCTTCTATTAACCTCTAAAGAATGTCTCTATATTGTTGAACTAACTGTTGGTTTTGAATCAAATCTTGAAAATAATGTTAAGCGCAAAAAATGCAAATACTTAGAATTAATTAGAGAACAACGCAAACATTACCAAGCAGTAAAATTTATTAATCTATCAATTAGCTCTCTTGGTGTCTTTTCAAAAGAATGTTCGACATTCTTAGAAATGCTTAAAGATATTGGCTTTGAAAGGAACCACCATGAATACCTTATTAAACGAATGACGACGATTGCAATTCGAACAACCTATTACATATTTTGTTGCCGGAATAAAGATTGGTCCAATCCTGAACTTTTAACATTTTGACCTATATTTTATAACGTTTTTATAGATGATGTATTGTAGTTAATTGTAAAATTGTAGTCATTGATTGATTCAAGTAGCCGATTGTAAATTACCTTATATAAGTGAGATTTACAATTGTATATACCCTAAAAATTTATTAATAAAGTTTTCATTATTATTATAATTATTATTATTATTATTATTATTATTATTATTATTATTATTATTATTATTATTATTTTATATTAATATTATTATTATTATTATTATTATTATTATTATTATTATTATTATTATTATTATTTTATTATTTATTATTATTATTATTATTATTATTATTATTATTATTATTATTATTATTATTATTATTATTATTATTATTATTATTATTATTATTATTATTATTATTATTATTAATATTATTATTATTATTATTATTATTATTATTATTATTATTATTATTATTATTATTATTATTATTATTATTATTATTATTATTATTATTATTATTATTATTATTATGTATTAGTTTAAATGCAAATTCTTACTTGAATCTTAATATATTTCAAGAAATAGCTATCAGTGTAAATTGTAATCATGATTCGTTCCAGTTTCATATATATGTTACTCATTTTCGTGGTTTGTTCGTTCTGTGGAGAGGATTTCGTGACGCTGGGACGCCACTCATGGCGATGTAAACAGCGAGTTCATCGTGCAGAGCAACAATATTTTAGTGATTATCCAACGAAGCAAGCGCCAGCTATCAATTCACCAAATATCGTTATTTCAAGTCGTACTGTACTTAAATGTTGTTGTGGAAAAATATGCAAAGGTGCACGTGGTTTAAAGATGCATCAACGCAGTTGCAGAGTTATAGACGGACTTAATAGTGAACTATCTGCAGACCTAGAAGAACAAGAGTTACAAGACAGACTAGATTCAGAAAATATATGTGAGCTAACAACTAACAACGAAACATTTATTGTGGATGAGGAAGAATTTCCAGTTTTAAAGAAAGGGATCAAACTACCTAAAAGTGATTCAGAATGGTCAACGGCTAACGAATATTTTAAATTCGCTCTACAATTCAATGAGCCAATTACATCACAGGATTTAGATTCAAATATAAAGGTATTAAATAACACCATTTACGAATATTTTGCTCAAAATTTTGGTTACATCAAGTCGAAGCCTTGTGAATCTTTAGTAAATAAATACAGAGGATATACTGTGAAAGATTTAAAGAAAGCTCTAAAAATCCTCAAATCTACAAATGAGGAACCCGATGAAATTAGATATGTGTCGCATATTCTGCGTGACAAAATCGCCACAACAACCAGTCTACTGAGTCGTGTCTAGACAGTAGACAATCGCTTAATCATGATAAATACATCAAGAAAAACTTCTGGGGTTATGTCAAAAATATTCTAAACAAAAAGGATGTTTTACTTCCATCTTTTAGCATGACAGAATGCTTGTCGTATTTCTCAAAAACGCTCTCAGCTATCCATCCGAATAAATTGTTCAACATTCCAGCTGGATTCCCGTATTATCGCAACCAGAAGTCCAGTTTGACCTTGACCCGCCGACATACCAGCAAGTCACAAATATAATTCGTAAAATGAAAGCATCTGGTTCCCCAAGCCCCTTAGATCAACTATCAATTATATGTTTTAAACGATGTCCTTTCCTCAGATCCCATCTAACCGAACTAATACATAATGTCTGGTCGTCCAAAACCATACCATCAGAATGGAAGAAGGCGTGTACAATACTCATCCATAAAAAAGGCGATAATAATAACCCATCAAACTTCAGACCTATCACATTGCAGAGCATACCGTTGAAAGTATTTACTTCTTGTTTACGTAACGCCATTTATTCGTTCTTAACCGCTAACAACTTTATAGAACATAACATACAAAAAGGATTTACACCTAACTTGTCTGGAAATCTAGAACACACTGCGCAAATGGCTAATATTATCAACACAGCAAGGATAAAACAACGCTCCGTCATCGTCACCCTACTTGACTTAAAGAATGCTTTTGGTGAAGTGCATCACAATCTAATCACATCTATACTTGATTATCATCATATCCCACAGCACATTAAACTCATTATTACCAGCTTATATACAAATTTTAAAACCTCTGTAATTACACAAGAATATCAAACTCCATTTATATCAGTTGGCCGTGGCGTGTTACAAGGCGACTGTCTGAGCCCACTTTTATTTAACATGTGTTTTAATACCTTCATTCAACACATAAACGCTGAAAAATATCGTCAATTTGGCTTCTCCTTCCAGCTCCTTAATCCTATACACTGGTTTCAATTTGCGGATGATGCTGCTGTAATAACTTCCAATGAATCAGAAAATCAACATCTTCTCAACCGGTTTTCTATTTGGTGCCTGTGGTCGGACATGGTTATACGAGTTGATAAATGTAGTACTTTTGGCATCAAAAAGTCTATGACAAAATCAATTCAATATTTACCAAAATTGTTCATTAATAATAAGCTAATTCCAGCGACAAAAGTGGGCGCAAGCTTTCAATACTTAGGAAGATACTTCAATTTCAACATGTCAGATGAACAACACAAGTCTGAATTGATTTCCCTTGTTGAAGACTTAATGTCTGTTATTGATTCCAAACCACTTCATCCAAGAAATAAATTACTGCTTTATAGCCGTTATGTTTTATCAAAATTATCTTGGCATTTTACTGTCACAGATCTGTCAAAAACGTGGGTGATTGAAAATATCGATTCCAAAATTAACAATTATATTCGTACATGGCTTGAATTACCCATATCTGGAACGCTAAGCACAGTATTCCTTACCCGAAACAAATTTGGTCTCAGTATTTCGCCTCCATCCATTAAATTTACCCAATGCCAAACCGTTCGACGTAATGCTCTTAAAACCTCACCGAACACTGTTATCAGTAAACTTTGGAAGTCAACTAGCAACAGCAAAAATATACAATATGATGTATACACCTCTACAAAACAAATAATTAAGGAATTTCGTTCGAGACAAGAGGATAAACTTCGCAAGCAATTGACCTGTCAAGGCTCCTTTTTCAGAAATGTATCGAAATTTTGTCACTCAGAGCTGACAAGAATGTGGTGTGCATCTCAAACAAATTTACCTAGAAATATATTCAATTTTACCATACGGTATATCAACAATTCACTTCCTACACGTCAGAATCTTGCAAGATGGGGATTATCGGCAACTTCAGATTGTTCAAACTGTTTATCTCCAGAAACACTACTACATGTAGTGGCGGGTTGTAAATCGTATCTCGAACGGTTCACGTGGAGACATGACTCCATCTTAAACCTCCTCGCAGCCAACTTACAAACCATCAACGGCGCGACTCTCTTTGCGATCTACCAAATTACAAGAGCCCATCAATCATCACTGGAAACTCCCACCGTCCTGACTTGCTTCTATTAACCTCTAAAGAATGTCTCTATATTGTTGAACTAACTGTTGGTTTTGAATCAAATCTTGAAATAATGTTAAGCGCAAAAAATGCAAATACTTAGAATTAATTAGAGAACAACGCAAACATTACCAAGCAGTAAAATTTATTAATCTATCATTAGCTCTCTTGGTGTCTTTTCAAAAGAATGTTCGACATTCTTAGAAATGCTTAAAGATATTGGCTTTGAAAGGAACCACCATGAATACCTTATTAAACGAATGACGACGATTGCAATTCGAACAACCTATTACATATTTTGTTGCCGGAATAAAGATTGGTCCAATCCTGAACTTTTAACATTTTGACCTATATTTTATAACGTTTTTATAGATGATGTATTGTAGTTAATTGTAAAATTGTAGTCATTGATTGATTCAAGTAGCCGATTGTAAATTACCTTATATAAGTGAGATTTACAATTGTATATACCCTAAAAATTTATTAATAAAGTTTTCATTATTATTCAGTCGTGCACAAGATGTATGAAGGTATTTTTAAACTTCGGTTTCACCACCGTTTAAGTTAAACGCCTTTGAAAGAGGCTAAACCACTTTATATCTCTAGAACCCAATCCATCGATTGTTCCAGATTTCTACTATTTTTCTTTGCTCTCACAGACTCTGAAGACCATATGAAACTATAGTTTAATTCCACATTTGCGGAAATCATCTCTAGAAAAGACTTAGAATTATGGAACAACATAATGAGTAATAAGAACAATGCTTTGCATGAATTGTTAGCTAATAACCTAAATATAGACAGTTGAGACAGAGAGGGCACGAATTCGAATTGCCCATTGTGAGAACTGAACGATTTAAATGTTCGTTTATAAATAGATGCCTTTTTAACTATATATTTGATATTCTATACTTTCAATTATTTATAATAATTAGTTCTATGTATGTATATGTACATATGTATATATATATCTATATATTGTAAATAGCGGTTATTTTATTGCACATAAAATTTGTAAACTCGTTTGTATGTTTTGAGTATATAAATTGTCATTGCCGACAAATAAAGACTTCTATCTATAACGAAATATTACCAGAATGGCACAATTTGCATGTTAGTCTAACTTTGTATCCAGGCAAGAAGACATAAATAAATCACGACAGCTAGTAAATTCATACTAGAATTAGTAAAATGGCAAAGTTTAGTTGTAAAATGTTTTAAAATGCACAAAATACGGCCGTGCTAATTATTCAATTCAAGTATCAATTCAATTCAAAAGTCTTTATTGTATTTTTGACAGTTTTTACTCTACTAAAGCCTGAAAACTAGTTTCGTTTGATATTCGGGGCAATCTTACTTCCGGCGGGATTACTTCATCGACAGAACATACAGCATACAACCATATTAACTATGATACAAGTTCATACAACAAATTGATTGGATGGCTATAACTAATATTATTGGATAACTAATAATATTATTGACGATATTTGATTTCGTGATCGAAGATTAGGTCCGGAAAGAAGACTACAAAGGTTTTTCATCCAAATTGTATTTGTTTTATTTTGGATGCCGTGTCGTCATCGTTGGATATCAACTATTTAAGGTAGGAAGTTGATGAAAAACCCCGCTTAGTCAGTAATTTGTTCAATAGCTACCACAGAACTGAGACGCAACTAATAATCACAGGATTATCGAGTATCATATTTGTGCGAGGCATATTGTGTGTAGCAGTGTTAATATACCGTAGAGACCCAAACTATACCTAGAATAGCCCTAGAGTAGTCAATAACAAGATGGCAAAATCGAGGGTGCGTATTCATACATCCGTCTTGTACCGCCGACTGATTCCCTTTTAAAGACGATTGTTTCAGGTACCGGTTTATGAACATGAATATATAAATAACATACACTCTGATCGTACAGTTGAAACTTTCTATGGAGACTGGTCTAAACCCCTTAGCTATTGTGTTGCATAGAATTTTTTACAGAATAACAAGACGGCAAAATCGAGGGTGCGTATTCATGCATACATCCGTCTTGTACCCCCGACTGATTCCCTTTTAAAGACGATTGTTTCAGGTACCGGTTTATGAACATGAATATATAAATAATATACACTCTGATCGTACAGTTGAAACTTTCTATGGAGACTGGTCTAAACCCCTTTGCTGTTGTGTTGCTTAGAATTTTGTACAGAATAACAAGATGGCAAAATCGAGGGTGCGTATTCATACATCCGTCTTGTACCCCCGACTGATTCCCTTTTAAAGACGATTGTTTCAGGTACCGGTTTATGAACATGATATATAAATAATATACACTCTGATCGTACAGTTGACACTTTCTATGGTGACTGGTCTAAACCCCTTAGCTGTTGTGTTGCTTAGAATTTTGTAAAGTCTGTTTTAGACATATTTTCGTTTTAAAAAACTTGCCAATATTTCAGAGCTCGCGTCATGACAGTTGGATACTAAAAGAAGCTTTGTCTTATTTGATTTCATTTTAAATAATTTTCCGTTGAGGACAACTTTTAAAATGTTACTTAATTTGTTTTGACCAGAAAATATTCGCAGAGCAGACTTCACATCATCCTTAATAATTAAGGATTCAGGGTAGCAAGTTAGCAAACAGCATGGTGAATTAAGAAGCGCATGACTACAGATATCATATAAAGATTGAGCAATATCGGCGAGTATTGGCTATATGGCTGCATGGAGGGTCTATTGCATGTAAAACATTTTTCGTTCGTTTGTTTGTCGATCGTCGATACCCGATATACAACCGAGAAGTAAGAACTAGTTTCGTTTGATATTCGGGGCAATCCTACCTCCGGCGGATTACTTCATGGACAGAACATACAGCTTACAACCATATTAACTATGATACAAGTTCATACAAAAAAAGTGAGTGCATGGTTGAATAATATTATTGGATAACTAATATATTTTTGACGATATTTGATTTCGTGGTCGAAGATTTAGGTCTGGAAAGATTTTTTATCAAAATTATATATGTTTTATTTCGGATGCGTGTCATCATCGTTAGACATCAGGTAGAAAGTTAGTGAATAACGACCCTGCTTAGTCAGTAATTTGTACAGTACGACAGAACTGAAACGCAACTAATAATCATGCGATTACTTGTGTGATTACATCATATTTGTGCGAGAAATATTGTGTGCAGCAGTGTTAATTAATCGTAGAGACCCAAACTATAACTAGAATAGCCTTAGAATAGTTAATAACAAGGTGGCAAAATCGAGGGTGCGTATTCATACATTCGTCTTGTATCCCCGACTGATTCCCTTTTAAAGACGATTGTTTCAGTTACGGTTTATGAACATGAATATATAAAGAATATACACTCTGATCGTACAGTTGACTCTTTCTGTGGTGATTGGTCTAAACCCCATAGCTGTTGTGTTGCTTAGAATTTTGTAAAGTAGTCTAGGACCTGTAAAAGAGTTTGTATGCATTTCATTTAGTACATATTATCTCAACTTTTTTAGGCTAAAATGACGGCATGGCGGTCAACATGGCATATGTGCCAAAATCTCAATCCGGGACGAAAGTCCTGAAAATGACCACACCCAGAAACGGCATAGTCAACATAACTGTAAATCCTTAATTATTAAAGCTACAGCCTTTCTGAATTGTTTATATGGTTCAGAATGGTTGCTTTTAGGGGTGGTCACTGCAGGGTGAAATTAGCCTAAGTTTCATATTTTACAAGAAAAAGAATGTTTACCATTCCTGGTCAACTGCTAATTATGCATAAAATTACAGATTCACCTGGCAAAGTCTAATTTTCCCTGTTTTCTAAAAATTTTTGCCATATGATGAAAAAACATTCTTATTTTAATATATTCATTATAAATTTCCTAGGAAATAACAATGTTTTGTTTGCGATACGACATATTTCATTTCATTTACCCCCCGCCAGAACACGATTTCAGCCATATTTTGCATATTTGATCGCGGTTTTTCGCCGTCCGTCGCAAGCACCATCCAAATACTGTACTTTAGCACGATTCTAGTGGACTAAAGAATTATTCAACAAAATTTTTGATGGGTTTTAAAGTAGTGCCATGTAATATTTTTTCATTTTTGTGTCCCTTTCATCAATTATGTCGCCATTGCAACGTTCACCGCCTTTCTGCACGATAATTCCCACTTCTTGATCCCCAGCATGTATTTGTGAAAAATGTACCCTGCAATGTTGCCCACGAGCAATTGTCGTGGAGTGTGCGCTAGACTTTTAAATTATTTTGAATATTTTGCACTTAAATTTCACACACGATAAACGAGGGGTAGTTTTTTATTTCCAAGTGGGGCAAATTCTTTTAAATTTTGGATAGCTGCTATTCTACTATCAGTTATTTATCCATGCTGTGTAAAAAAACAGCTGGGGGTCAAGAAGTGGTATTTATCGTGAAGAAAGGCGACGAGACATGGGAATTGCGACATAATTGATGAAATGTCAAGGGACACAAAAATGAGACACAAAAATATTACATGGCACTACTTCAAAACCCATCGAAAATTAGTGAATAATTATTTAGTCCACTAGAACTTTACTTAAACAGTTAAACTGGAACGACTACTCGGCTACTATCTCGTCTGTTTTTGTCTTCACCGTAGACAATCGTGCCGACGTAAACAAAGAAAAGTGACTGGCAATGGTCTAGATTCGGCTAAAAATTGGCTCCAAAGATAGCTGTTATCCTCCCGAGGCCGATTTGATGAAAATTAGATAGTGCTTCCGCCAGATAGTGATTTTTCCACAGTTTTAAACATTTGGAGCTAACAGTAATTAATAACTTGGTTTTCAGGTTCCCATCGCGCTATTTCAAAGATGTTGGTCAGGCAAGATGATATGACTTTGTTATAAGCACCAAAGAAGATTGTAAAAAATAATATAAGAATGACTGAACTCAAGGAAGATGATAATGTTATGATGTCCCAGGCTGAGGACAGCGACGTAACTTCAAGCTTTACGGAAAACAATAATATCGCTTCGTCCGAAAATAAACAATCCCAATCTGTTAATAAACAGAAAGAAGTTGAAGATGAACTCCAAGAAAAAGACATTCAAAACGAAGAATGTGATGGCGGTGAGAATTAAAACAAATGTCCTATGATAGAAGTAAAAATCCTATCTTCTACTAACTCGTACATTTTGATCAGGACATTCAGAGTTGCAGATGGACTGCCTAATTGGGGGGGGGTTGCATATTCATACGTTCATGTTATATATCGTAGAAACTACAGCGTAGCAAAGAAATCAGACAGGTATAAAGGCGGCTTTCGAACCATTCAGTGCAAAATGTCGCGCGACCTATTTTTTGCAATCGCTTTCTTTTGAAATGTGTTAATGCATGGGATTATAGTTCCGCTTGATTGTTTGTATTTAAAAAAAAAAACGATCGCAAAAAGTCCATCGTGCGACATTTTCATCCAGAAAATCCGCATTAAGCTTCTGGCTGCACGGCCCTAACCATCAAGGTCCCACAATAATTGGCCTAGGCAATTGCGTTCGCTATTGACAAAGGCGATACTAAATAAATGAGTAAAATAATAAATTACTTTACTATAAATAATTTATTATTAAATATTTAGTTGACCATGGAGCAAGCATTTATTCCCAGAACGAAGATGGTGAAACAGTTTTGTCGATAGCGATAAGAAATGGTTTATTTGATGTGGTTAAGTATTTTGTTCAATGTGGCCCTGAACATAATTTTCAAGATTATTCTAAAGTTCTTCAGAGTGCAATAAAGTCTCGGTCATTAGAAATTGTGAAATATTTCGTTGAAGATTGTGGGGCTGATATACATTGTAAAGATGATTCGGGAAATACTGCCTTACATCATGCTGTTTATGTTGGTGGAATAGAAATTGTCAAATACTTAGTTAAACAATGCGGTGCAGACATGAATGCCAGGAATCCAGACGGGGGACAATGCTACAACTTGCTGTTACAGAAGGTACGCTAGAATTGGTGAAATATCTTGTTGAACAGGGCGCTGATGTAAACGGCCAGGGTACTGACGGGTGGACAGTGCTGCACGCTGCTGTTACAAAATCTACTCCAGAAGTTGTAAAATATCTTGTTGAAAATGGCGCTGTTGTAAACGGCAAGGATACTACAGACGGCTGGACAGTATTACACTATGCTGTTGCCTATAGTTCATTAGACATGATGAAACATCTTGTTGAACTGGGGGCAGATGTAAATGGCGAAAAGACCGATGGGTGGACAGTGCTGCATGATGCTGTTACAAACGGTACGCTAGAAAAGGTAAAATATCTTGTTGAAATTGGTGCTAATGTAAATGGTAAGAGCAATGGCGGGTGGACGGTGCTTTACAATGCTATTTCTAAAGGTACGCTAGAAATTGTAAAATATCTAGTAGAAATGGGCGCTGATGTGAATGCCAAGGATACCACTTACGATTGGACAATGCTTCACTCTGCTGTTACTGAAGGTACGCCAGCAATGGTAAAATATCTTGTTGACATGGGCGCTAATGTAAATAGTGAGGATAGTAAGGGATGGACGGTGCTGCGATATGCGATTTTCAAAGGCACACTAGAAATAATAGAATGTCTTGTTGAACATGGTGCTGATGTTAATGACAAAATTGAAATGCGATCAATTCTGCACTGTGCACTGTGTGTTACTCAAGATACTTTAGAAATAGTGAACTGCCCTGTTGAGAAGGGTGCTGATTGCAATTGTAAGAAGACTACCGGGGAAACAGTGTTGCACTCTGCTTTTTCTAAAGGCAGGACAGATATAGTAAAATATCTCGTTCAGAAAGGCGCTGATGTAAATGTTAAGAATACTTACGGGAAGACAGTGCTGCACTCTGCTGTTACTGAAGGTAACTTCGAAATTGTGAAATATCTTGTGGGAAAAGGCGCTGATGTAAATGTAAAACGGAAAAATAGATGGACAGTGTTGCACAGTGCTGTTAGAAAAGGTTCGCTAGAAATGGTGAAATATCTTGTTGAGAAGAACGCCGATGTAAATGCCGAGAGTTTTTGCCGGAGGACAGTGTTGCACATTGCTTTTAGAAAAGGTTCGCTAGAAATGGTGAAATATCTTGTGGGAAATGGCGCTGATGTAAATGCCAAGAATAATCGCGGGGAGACAGTGCTATATTATGCTGTTTCTGAAGGTACGCTAGAAATGGTGAAATATCTTGTTGAGAATGGCGCTGATGTAAATGCCAAGAATACTCGAGCTCACGGGAAGACGGTGCTGCACTCTGCTGTTTCTGAGGGTACGCTAGAAATGGTGAAATATCTTGTGGAAAATGGCGCTGATGTATATGCAAAAGAGAATAGCGGACGGACAATGTTGAAAAGAGCTATTTTAAAAGGTTCGCTAGAAATGGAGAAATATCTTATGGGAAATGGCGCTGATGTAAATGCCAAGAATAATCGCGGGGAGACAGTGCTATATTATGCTGTTTCTGAAGGTACGCTAGAAATGGTGAAATATCCTGTTGAGAATGGCGCTGATGTAAATGCCAAGAAAACTCGAGCTCACGGGAAGACGGTGCTGCACTCTGCTGTTTCTGAGGGTACGCTAGAAATGGTGAAATATCTTGTGGAAAATGGCGCTGATGTATATGCAAAAGAGAAAAGCGGACGGACAATGTTGAAAAGAGCTATTTTAAAAGGTTCGCTAGAAATGGTGAAATATCTTGTTGATACGAGTTTTGATGTAAATGCCGAGAATACTCACGGGGAGACAGTGCTGCACTGCGCTGTTTCTGAAGGTACGCTAGAAATGGTGAAATATCTTGTGGGAAATGGCGCTGATGTAAATGGAAAAACGAAAAGCGGAATGACAGTGTTGCACGTTGCCGTTGTAAAAGGTTCGTTAGAAATGGTAGAATATCTTGTCGAGAACGGTGCTGATGTAAATGCCAAGAATACTCACGGGGAGACAGCGCTGAACTCTGCTGTTTCTGAAGGTACGCTAGAAATGGTGAAATATCTTGTTGAGAATGGCGCTGCTGTAAATGCCAAGAATACTCGAGCTCACGGGAAGACGGTGCTGCACTCTGCTGTTTCGGAGGGTACACTAGAAATGGTGAAGTATCTTGTGGAAAATGGCGCTGATGTATACGCAAAAGAGAATAGCGAACGGACAATGTTGAAAAGAGCTATTTCAAAAGGTTCGCTAGAAATGGTGAAATATCTTGTTGATACGAGTTTTGATGTAAATGCCAAGAGTACTCACGGGGAGACAGTGCTGCACTGCGCTGTTTCTGAGGGTACGCTAGAAATGGTGAAATATCTTGTGGGAAATGACGCTGATGTAAATGGAAAAATGAAAAGCGGAACGACAGTGTTGCACGTTGCCGTTGTAAAAGGTTCGTTAGAAATGGTAAAATATCTTGTCGAGAACGGTGCTGATGTAAATGCCAAGAATACTCACGGGAAGACAGTGTTGAACTCTGCTGTTTCTGAAGGTACGCTAGAAATGGTGAAATATCTTGTGGGAAATGGCGCTGATGTAAATGGAAAAATAATAAAGAATGGACAGTCCTGCACAGTGCTGTTACTAAGGACTGGCTACACATGGTAAAATACCTTGTTGAAAATGGTGCTGATGTAAATTGCAAGGATACTAACGGAGGGACAGTCTTGCACCATGCTGTTCGTGTTGGTAATATAGTAACTGTGAAGTATTTAGTTGAACAGGGTGCTGATGTTGGCATTGGCATCCTCCAAATGGCTGTTAGAAACAACTTCGTCGCCTTTGTCAATCTTCTTTATGAGAAGGACATCGCGATGTTGAGAGAGCAAACGATAATGCTGCTGAAGGGCGAAGAATGAATCTTCTTGAATGGAGCATCCACCTTGGTCATGATGAAATTGCAACTATCTTTAAAAGGTCGGTAAAACATCGTGAGAAAATTCAGAAGTTGAAAACAACGAGCTGTAACGAGTTAAAAGAGGTAATATTGTTAGACTGTATAATAAATTTTGCAAAATATCCTATCCAAGGTTATGGGGGAGTTTACAAACAAATGACATCGCAGCTCGGTGACGAGCATTTAGTTTCGCACATTTTGTAGCCAATCGGTAACATAATAAACTTCTCTACCAAACCGCGACTACGGAACTCGCGCGATATACGGGTTCAGTTGACCAAAACTAAGATTAATCATTCAGATTCGCACCAAACCCAGCGTTTCCACAACTTATTTGCACAAGGCTGTCTTCATGGAAAGATGGTAATAAAAAAGAGAGAAACAAAAAATGTTTGAAAAGAATGCATGATATATCCTATTAAAACTAACCCTCCCTATATATATATATATATATATATATATATATATATATATATATTATAATATATATATATTATATATATATATTTATATATATATATATATACGTAAGGTGAATTTGTTCTTCTGCACAAGTATGACCAACCGGGCAAGCAGAAAATTCTACTTGACCGCGGTGGGAATCGAACCCGCGACCTTCGCATTTCTAGAACGATGCTCTACCGTCTGAGCTGCAAGGCCAAGTTGGGAACGACTGTGATTTTGCTTAAGTTGTTATTGACAATGCGGAGTTTCGTCCTTTAACATGTCGTTATGCAGTTACATCTGCAAATGTTGATATATTTGTACGTTTTTGCTCTCAATTGAGCCATGTGTTCACTTGTGGATTTATGTAAGGTGTATTTGTTCTTCTGCACAAGTATGACCAACCGGGCAAGCAGAAAATTCTACTTGACCGCGGTGGGAATCGAACCCGCGACCTTCGCATTCCTTGTAGCTCAGACGGTAGAGCATCGTTCTAGAAATGCGAAGGTCGCGGGTTCGATTCCCACCGCGGTCAAGTAGAATTTTCTGCTTGCCCGGTTGGTCATACTTGTGCAGAAGAACAAATACACCTTACATATATATATATATATATATATATATATATATATATATATATATTATATATATTATATATATATATATATATATATATTATATATATATATATATATATATATCATCAGTCGCCTGATGATCGCTTTGCTTTTTTTTAGCTTAGCGTGAAACACCGTGTAGCGACGGCTTTAAATTAAAATAAAGAATTAGTAAATATTATTTATGCTCTGCTTTTTTTTTGGTATTGAGCACTCTTCTTGTCTATTACAAACAAACTAAATTTGAATATAAATATATATATATATATATATATATATATATATTATATATATATATATATATATATATATATATATATATTATATATATATATATACATCAGGAGCCAGTCCAAAAGAAAAAACTATTTAGATATATAGCTTCAATTCACCACATCGCAGTGTTCAAAAATTAAACTTTTAATAAACTAAATCAAATCAAATACATCTTGTAATGTATACTACGTTTCGGGGCGCAGCCCCTTCGTCAGAAATGTTTCCTTACTAATCCTAAGCCTTCTTATATAGTTACAACAAATTTGCATACATAAATTAACCTTAAGTTTCCTCCCTCACATTTAATCCCATAGGACAATAAGTCCTTAACTTTTCTATCCAAAAACTTTCCCTTTCATTAGGTTTGTTGATATCAGTAACATCAATTATTTGAACACTTATGTCCCCTAATCCCTTATGTCCTTGTTCAAAAAAATGCGCATATAAACCCTGACCACAAATACCTCTCTGACCCCTACCAAAACGTAACAATGAGCTTTTTGATTATTAAATCTCAACCTAAGTGCCGTAACTGCGTTCCCGACGTACTACTGTAGATGGCATGTCTTACAAGTTATGAAATAAATCACCCCTTCTGAATCACAATCAAAGGCATGATTTATGTGATAAACTTTACCCGTTGAAAAGCTACTAAATTTAGACCCCAAAATAATATAATTACACACTTGACAGCGCTTCTTACCACACTTAGACATGCCTCTATCCGAAGTTTCAATACTACGTAACTTAGACCTGACCAGATGATCTTTAAGGTTCCTCGGTCTACGAAAACTTAACAGTGGTTTTTCAGGTAAAACCTTAAAAAATCCGATGACATCTTAACTATACCCTGCATTTCCTGCAAGGTACCCTTTAAACAATTAAGTGCCGGATGAAAATCCAGTACCAAACAAACCCTATTGTCTTGACCCTTACACTGATCAGACACAATCTGATGATCATAATTCCTAACCCTATTAAATTGTTTCTCAATAAAACCCCGATCATAGCCTCGCTCCATCAAGAAACCTCTTAGATCATCCAGTCTACCCTCCAAAATTTCCTCCGAACTACAAATTCGTTTAAGTCTAAGTCCCTGTCCGTATGGTATCCCCCTTTCGACATACTTTTTTAGGCTAAAATGACGGCATGGCGGTCAACATGGCATATGTGCCAAAATCTCAATCCGGGACGAAAGTCCTGAAAATGACCACACCCAGAAACGGCATAGTCAACATAACTGTAAATCCTTAATTATTAAAGCTACAGCCTTTCTGAATGTTTATATGGTTCAGAATGGTTGCTTTTAGGGGTGGTCACTGCAGGGTGAAATTAGCCTAAGTTTCATATTTTACAAGAAAAAGAATGTTTACCATTCCTGGTCAACTGCTAATTATGCATAAAATTACAGATTCACCTGGCAAAGTCTAATTTTCCCTGTTTTCTAAAAATTTTTGCCATATGATGAAAAAACATTCTTATTTTAATATATTCATTATAAATTTCCTAGGAAATAACAATGTTTTGTTTGCGATACGACATATTTCATTTCATTTACCCCCCGCCAGAACACGATTTCAGCCATATTTTGCATATTTGATCGCGGTTTTTCGCCGTCCGTCGCAAGCACCATCCAAATACTGTACTTTAGCACGATTCTAGTGGACTAAAGAATTATTCAACAAAATTTTTGATGGGTTTTAAAGTAGTGCCATGTAATATTTTTTCATTTTTGTGTCCCTTTCATCAATTATGTCGCCATTGCAACGTTCACCGCCTTTCTGCACGATAATTCCCACTTCTTGATCCCCAGCATGTATTTGTGAAAAATGTACCCTGCAATGTTGCCCACGAGCAATTGTCGTGGAGTGTGCGCTAGACTTTTAAATTATTTTGAATATTTTGCACTTAAATTTCACACACGATAAACGAGGGGTAGTTTTTTATTTCCAAGTGGGGCAAATTCTTTTAAATTTTGGATAGCTGCTATTCTACTATCAGTTATTTATCCATGCTGTGTAAAAAAACAGCTGGGGGTCAAGAAGTGGTATTTATCGTGAAGAAAGGCGACGAGACATGGGAATGGCGACATAATTGATGAAATGTCAAGGGACACAAAAATGAGACACAAAAATATTACATGGCACTACTTCAAAACCCATCGAAAATTAGTGAATAATTATTTAGTCCACTAGAACTTTACTTAAACAGTTAAACTGGAACGACTACTCGGCTACTATCTCGTCTGTTTTTGTCTTCACCGTAGACAATCGTGCCGACGTAAACAAAGAAAAGTGACTGGCAATGGTCTAGATTCGGCTAAAAATTGGCTCCAAAGATAGCTGTTATCCTCCCGAGGCCGATTTGATGAAAATTAGATAGTGCTTCCGCCAGATAGTGATTTTTCCACAGTTTTAAACATTTGGAGCTAACAGTAATTAATAACTTGGTTTTCAGGTTCCCATCGCGCTATTTCAAAGATGTTGGTCAGGCAAGATGATATGACTTTGTTATAAGCACCAAAGAAGATTGTAAAAAATAATATAAGAATGACTGAACTCAAGGAAGATGATAATGTTATGATGTCCCAGGCTGAGGACAGCGACGTAACTTCAAGCTTTACGGAAAACAATAATATCGCTTCGTCCGAAAATAAACAATCCCAATCTGTTAATAAACAGAAAGAAGTTGAAGATGAACTCCAAGAAAAAGACATTCAAAACGAAGAATGTGATGGCGGTGAGAATTAAAACAAATGTCCTATGATAGAAGTAAAATCCTATCTTCTACTAACTCGTACATTTTGATCAGGACATTCAGAGTTGCAGATGGACTGCCTAATTGGGCGGGGGGGGTTGCATATTCATACGTTCATGTTTATATATCGTAGAAACTACAGCGTAGCAAAGAAATCAGACAGGTATAAAGGCGGCTTTCGAACCATTCAGTGCAAAATGTCGCGCGACCTATTTTTTGCAATCGCTTTCTTTTGAAATGTGTTAATGCATGGGATTATAGTTCCGCTTGATTGTTTGTATTTAAAAAAAAACGATCGCAAAAAGTCCATCGTGCGACATTTTCATCCAGAAAATCCGCATTAAGCTTCTGGCTGCACGGCCCTAACCATCAAGGTCCCACAATAATTGGCCTAGGCAATTGCGTTCGCTATTGACAAAGGCGATACTAAATAAATGAGTAAAATAATAAATTACTTTACTATAAATAATTTATTATTAAATATTTAGTTGACCATGGAGCAAGCATTTATTCCCAGAACGAAGATGGTGAAACAGTTTTGTCGATAGCGATAAGAAATGGTTTATTTGATGTGGTTAAGTATTTTGTTCAATGTGGCCCTGAACATAATTTTCAAGATTTTCTAAAGTTCTTCAGAGTGCAATAAAGTCTCGGTCATTAGAAATTGTGAAATATTTCGTTGAAGATTGTGGGGCTGATATACATTGTAAAGATGATTCGGGAAATACTGCCTTACATCATGCTGTTTATGTTGGTGGAATAGAAATTGTCAAATACTTAGTTAAACAATGCGGTGCAGACATGAATGCCAGGAATCCAGACGGGGGACAATGCTACAACTTGCTGTTACAGAAGGTACGCTAGAATTGGTGAAATATCTTGTTGAACAGGGCGCTGATGTAAACGGCCAGGGTACTGACGGGTGGACAGTGCTGCACGCTGCTGTTACAAAATCTACTCCAGAAGTTGTAAAATATCTTGTTGAAAATGGCGCTGTTGTAAACGGCAAGGATACTACAGACGGCTGGACAGTATTACACTATGCTGTTGCCTATAGTTCATTAGACATGATGAAACATCTTGTTGAACTGGGGGCAGATGTAAATGGCGAAAAGACCGATGGGTGGACAGTGCTGCATGATGCTGTTACAAACGGTACGCTAGAAAAGGTAAAATATCTTGTTGAAATTGGTGCTAATGTAAATGGTAAGAGCAATGGCGGGTGGACGGTGCTTTACAATGCTATTTCTAAAGGTACGCTAGAAATTGTAAAATATCTAGTAGAAATGGGCGCTGATGTGAATGCCAAGGATACCACTTACGATTGGACAATGCTTCACTCTGCTGTTACTGAAGGTACGCCAGCAATGGTAAAATATCTTGTTGACATGGGCGCTAATGTAAATAGTGAGGATAGTAAGGGATGGACGGTGCTGCGATATGCGATTTTCAAAGGCACACTAGAAATAATAGAATGTCTTGTTGAACATGGTGCTGATGTTAATGACAAAATTGAAATGCGATCAATTCTGCACTGTGCACTGTGTGTTACTCAAGATACTTTAGAAATAGTGAACTGCCCTGTTGAGAAGGGTGCTGATTGCAATTGTAAGAAGACTACCGGGGAAACAGTGTTGCACTCTGCTTTTTCTAAAGGCAGGACAGATATAGTAAATATCTCGTTCAGAAAGGCGCTGATGTAAATGTTAAGAATACTTACGGGAAGACAGTGCTGCACTCTGCTGTTACTGAAGGTAACTTCGAAATTGTGAAATATCTTGTGGGAAAAGGCGCTGATGTAAATGTAAAACAGAAAAATAGATGGACAGTGTTGCACAGTGCTGTTAGAAAAGGTTCGCTAGAAATGGTGAAATATCTTGTTGAGAAGAACGCCGATGTAAATGCCGAGAGTTTTTGCCGGAGGACAGTGTTGCACATTGCTTTTAGAAAAGGTTCGCTAGAAATGGTGAAATATCTTGTGGGAAATGGCGCTGATGTAAATGCCAAGAATAATCGCGGGGAGACAGTGCTATATTATGCTGTTTCTGAAGGTACGCTAGAAATGGTGAAATATCTTGTTGAGAATGGCGCTGATGTAAATGCCAAGAATACTCGAGCTCACGGAAGACGGTGCTGCACTCTGCTGTTTCTGAGGGTACGCTAGAAATGGTGAAATATCTTGTGGAAAATGGCGCTGATGTATATGCAAAAGAGAATAGCGGACGGACAATGTTGAAAAGAGCTATTTTAAAAGGTTCGCTAGAAATGGTGAAATATCTTATGGGAAATGGCGCTGATGTAAATGCCAAGAATAATCGCGGGGAGACAGTGCTATATTATGCTGTTTCTGAAGGTACGCTAGAAATGGTGAAATATCTTGTTGAGAATGGCGCTGATGTAAATGCCAAGAAAACTCGAGCTCACGGGAAGACGGTGCTGCACTCTGCTGTTTCTGAGGGTACGCTAGAAATGGTGAAATATCTTGTGGAAAATGGCGCTGATGTATATGCAAAAGAGAAAAGCGGACGGACAATGTTGAAAAGAGCTATTTTAAAAGGTTCGCTAGAAATGGTGAAATATCTTGTTGATACGAGTTTTGATGTAAATGCCGAGAATACTCACGGGGAGACAGTGCTGCACTGCGCTGTTTCTGAAGGTACGCTAGAAATGGTGAAATATCTTGTGGGAAATGGCGCTGATGTAAATGGAAAAACGAAAAGCGGAATGACAGTGTTGCACGTTGCCGTTGTAAAAGGTTCGTTAGAAATGGTAGAATATCTTGTCGAGAACGGTGCTGATGTAAATGCCAAGAATACTCACGGGGAGACAGCGCTGAACTCTGCTGTTTCTGAAGGTACGCTAGAAATGGTGAAATATCTTGTTGAGAATGGCGCTGCTGTAAATGCCAAGAATACTCGAGCTCACGGGAAGACGGTGCTGCACTCTGCTGTTTCGGAGGGTACACTAGAAATGGTGAAGTATCTTGTGGAAAATGGCGCTGATGTATACGCAAAAGAGAATAGCGAACGGACAATGTTGAAAAGAGCTATTTCAAAAGGTTCGCTAGAAATGGTGAAATATCTTGTTGATACGAGTTTTGATGTAAATGCCAAGAGTACTCACGGGGAGACAGTGCTGCACTGCGCTGTTTCTGAGGGTACGCTAGAAATGGTGAAATATCTTGTGGGAAATGACGCTGATGTAAATGGAAAAATGAAAAGCGGAACGACAGTGTTGCACGTTGCCGTTGTAAAAGGTTCGTTAGAAATGGTAAAATATCTTGTCGAGAACGGTGCTGATGTAAATGCCAAGAATACTCACGGGAAGACAGTGTTGAACTCTGCTGTTTCTGAAGGTACGCTAGAAATGGTGAAATATCTTGTGGGAAATGGCGCTGATGTAAATGGAAAAAATAATAAAGAATGGACAGTCCTGCACAGTGCTGTTACTAAGGACTGGCTACACATGGTAAAATACCTTGTTGAAAATGGTGCTGATGTAAATTGCAAGGATACTAACGGAGGGACAGTCTTGCACCATGCTGTTCGTGTTGGTAATATAGTAACTGTGAAGTATTTAGTTGAACAGGGTGCTGATGTTGGCATTGGCATCCTCCAAATGGCTGTTAGAAACAACTTCGTCGCCTTTGTCAATCTTCTTTATGAGAAGGACATCGCGATGTTGAGAGAGCAAACGATAATTGCTGAAGGGCGAAGAATGAATCTTCTTGAATGGAGCATCCACCTTGGTCATGATGAAATTGCAACTATCTTTAAAAGGTCGGTAAAACATCGTGAGAAAATTCAGAAGTTGAAAACAACGAGCTGTAACGAGTTAAAAGAGGTAATATTGTTAGACTGTATAATAAATTTTGCAAATATCCTATCCAAGGTTATGGGGGAGTTTACAAACAAATGACATCGCAGCTCGGTGACGAGCATTTAGTTTCGCACATTTTGTAGCCAATCGGTAACATAATAAACTTCTCTACCAAACCGCGACTACGGAACTCGCGCGATATACGGGTTCAGTTGACCAAAACTAAGATTAATCATTCAGATTCGCACCAAACCCAGCGTTTCCACAACTTATTTGCACAAGGCTGTCTTCATGGAAAGATGGTAATAAAAAAGAGAGAAACAAAAAATGTTTGAAAAGAATGCATGATATATCCTATTAAAACTAACCCTCCCTATATATATATTATATATATATTATTATATATATATATATATATATATATATTTTATATATTATATATAATATATACGTAAGGTGAATTTGTTCTTCTGCACAAGTATGACCAACCGGGCAAGCAGAAAATTCTACTTGACCGCGGTGGGAATCGAACCCGCGACCTTCGCATTCTAGAACGATGCTCTACCGTCTGAGCTGCAAGGCCAAGTTGGGAACGACTGTGATTTTGCTTAAGTTGTTATTGACAATGCGGAGTTTCGTCCTTTAACATGTCGTTATGCAGTTACATCTGCAAATGTTGATATATTTGTACGTTTTTGCTCTCAATTGAGCCATGTGTTCACTTGTGGTTATTTATGTAAGGTGTATTTGTTCTTCTGCACAAGTATGACCAACCGGGCAAGCAGAAAATTCTACTTGACCGCGGTGGGAATTGAACCCGCGACCTTCGCATTTCTCAGACGGTAGAGCATCGTTCTAGAAATGCGAAGGTCGCGGGTTCAATTCCCACCGCGGTCAAGTAGAATTTTCTGCTTGCCCGGTTGGTCATACTTGTGCAGAAGAACAAATACACCTTACATATATATTATATATATTATATATATATATATTATATTATATATATAATATATATATATATATATATATATATTATATATATATATATATATCATCAGTCGCCTGATGATCGCTTTGCTTTTTTTTAGCTTAGCGTGAAACACCGTGTAGCGACGGCTTTAAATTAAAATAAAGAATTAGTAAATATTATTTATGCTCTGCTTTTTTTTTGGTATTGAGCACTCTTCTTGTCTATTACAAACAAACTAAATTTTGAATATAAATATATATATATATATATATATATATATATATATATATATATATTATATATATAATATATATATATATATATATATATATATATATATATTATTATATATACATCAGGAGCCAGTCCAAAAGAAAAAACTATTTAGATATATAGCTTCAATTCACCACATCGCAGTGTTCAAAAATTAAACTTTTAATAAACTAAATCAAATCAAATACATCTTGTAATGTATACTACGTTTCGGGGCGCAGCCCCTTCGTCAGAAATGTTTCCTTACTAATCCTAAGCCTTCTTATATAGTTACAACAAATTTGCATACATAAATTAACCTTAAGTTTCCTCCCTCACATTTAATCCCATAGGACAATAAGTCCTTAACTTTTCTATCCAAAAACTTTCCCTTTCATTAGGTTTGTTGATATCAGTAACATCAATTATTTGAACACTTATGTCCCCTAATCCCT